CAGCTTGAGGGGTAGAATTTCAACATAGGAATTTTGGGGGATCCATACTTCAGTCCTTTGTACCAAGATTCTGATGGCCCTTCCTCATTGGATTTTGGCAGGGCAGCATGAGGTGATGGAGCCCAGGAGCTCAGCATGTGTGCCTGGTCCACAGCGCTGCTTCAGTCACTCTGCTGTCACACAGTGCCATGTCTACTTAAGTGAATTTGCTAATTAAGCAAATCATACCTTTAAAGTGCCCAAAGTAATTTTTATCCAGTTCTGTTTAAAAATCCCCCCCAAACCTCACAATGTTCATGACCTCTTTGTCCACAAAATAAAAAAAAAAAACAGAAAGAAAAATAACCCCCCCCCCAAACTTTCTGGACCTTTCCTTGGTGACTCGGGGTCATGGGGATGCAGTTGTGTGTCATTGGTGTGGGTAAGGCCGCCTGCTCTGCACGGACTACCCTCATATCCTGGCATTTACAGGGCCTGCCTTCTTTCTTCTCACCATCTTTTGTAAGCTGCTGTTGGCATATGGCCCCTTTGCTGGGGTGAGGGCCTGATGATGGTCGTCCTCCCTGGGTTTTTCTTTTCTTTTCTTTTTTTCTTTTTTTTTTTTGAGATGGAGTCTCACTCTGTCTCCCAGACTGGAGTACAGTGGTGCGACTTGGCTCACTGCAGCCTCCGCCTCCTGGATTTGGGCAATTATCTGCCTCAGCCTCTAGAGCAGCTGGGATAATACGTGCCTGTCACCATACCCAGCTAATTTTTGTTTTTGGTTTTTTTTTTGAGACGGAGTTTTGCTCTTGTTACCCAGGCTGGAGTGCAATGGCACAGTCTCGGCTCACTGCAGCCTCCGTCTCCTGGATTCAAACAATTGTCTGCCTCAGCCTCCAGAGTAGCTGGGATAACACATGCCTGTCACCATACCTGACTAATTTTTGTTTTTTTGTTTTTTGTTTTTTTTTTGAGACGGAGTTTCGCTCTTGTTACCCAGGCTGGAGTGCAATGGCGCGATCTCAGCTCCCCACAACCTCCGCCTCCTGGGTTCCAGCAATTCTCCTGCCTCAGCCTCCTGAGTAGCTGGGACTACAGGCACGCACCACCATGCCCAGCTAATTTTTGTATTTTTAGTAGAGACAGGGTTTCACCTTGTTGACCAGGATGGTCTCGATCTCTTGACCTCGTGATCCACCCGCCTCGGCCTCCCAAAGTGCTGGGATTATAGGCGTGAGCCACCTTGCCTGGCCTAATTTTTGTGTTTCTAGTACAGATGGGGTTTTACTGTCTTGGCCAAGCTGGTCTTGAACTCCTGACCTTGTGTTCCACCTGCCTCAGACCTCCAGAGTGCTGGGATTACAGGCGTGAGCCACCATGGCTGGCCTCCTCCCTGGGGTTTGAGGGCAGCCCTGCCATGCAGAGGCCTTGCTGTCTTCTAGGTTAGTGATTCCCTGTCTGAGTTTGATGTGATGGGTTATAGAAAGCCTGACGGGATGCTGCCTGACTATACCTAGTGACTCAGGATTAGAAGAGAGTACTGGTGGTGATGGCTTACCCCTAGGTGATGAGAAGTCGAAAGCAGATGATAAATCTATAAGCACTGCTCTCCTGTGTCAAATTGTGTTCAGATAACATGTAACAATGATAGTTAAGGTTTTAGAATTATGGAAAGTTTCTCCTTGTTTTCCAAACTGTATCACTGCCCTTTTACTTTTATATTAATGTTTAAGTAATAACTTTGTAATTAAAATAAGTGTAAATAGAAAGGGCGTGGTTGTCTAGGCATTTGCAGTTTACCAAGAAGCTTTCCGTAGCCCTCATTTTGTTTTCAGAACAGCCTTGTTAATTTGCTACCTTCTTTGTTATTCAGAGGGGAAAGAGAAGGAGAGGTTAACCGGTCAGTGGTTTTGCCTGAGGCCACCAGCCAGGACCCCACATGCTCCTCTGAGCCCAAGCCCAGAGCTCCCAGGAGGCCTATGATGGGTCCTCTGCCTGGACCTGCAGGGTGGTCTTTATAGAATCAACCGTGGCTAGTATTTTGAAATTTCCTATTGAATTAAATGAAATCTTATTACTATAAAGTGAGACCCAAACCGTAGTTTGTGAACATTTTCAAGTTTTAAACTGCATTTGTCTTTCATTATGTTAAATTATGTTGTCGCCAACTGAGTGTGCCAAGATCGTGAATTGTGGTCTTTGGAGGAACCACAGAGCAGGCAGTGCTCCCTGTGCAGACCTCCAAGCCCGCTATTAGTGGGTTCTGGAGCTGACTGACTGGCTGGAGCTGGGTTGCCTGCTCGCCGCTTAGCTCACACATGGTGATGCTTTAATTAAGCAATTGTGACCTTTGCTCCTGCAAATGTATCATCAGATAAGGAGTCTGGGCATGTGCCACTAAGGAGGAGGATGTGCATGGGTGGGTGTGGAGTCAGTAGTGAGGGGCTCACTGTCTGCACAGGCCCCCATGTTCTGAAGTTTTCTGAGGGATGGTTCAAGAAGCTTTACTTCTTGCCCATTTAATTCTTGCAACAAGATCGTGTCCTCTCCACTACGCACGAATCAACTGAAGCTCAGAGAGATTAAGTGGCCTTCAGAGGGCCACCATCAGAGCTGGTGCTCTGCCTACTGAAGCCCACACTCATTTCACCTCCTCTGGCTGGCTGGAATGAGTAAGTTCTCAGTCGCTAACTCTCAGATGTGAACGTCTGTAAAAGATAATCAGTGTTTCTCCCCCACCTCTGAGAAACATGGACATGAGGCAGATTATATGTGTCTTTTGCTTAAGACGGGATCTGTGTCTGTAACTAACTTGCTTACGATAATATGAAAGTTGACAGTCGTTTAACAGCAGGAAGATAAGAGCAGAAAAGGGAGAGCGGCTGGTGTGCGGTCAAGGCTGTGGGTGATTCGCTGGTGATGCGTTCCACGCAGGACAGGAGGAAGATTGCGGAGGCCCTGACTTAGGAATGCTGTTGCCTCGCCGGGGGCAGATGCATTCTTTTTTTTTTTTTTTTTTTTTGAGACGGAGTTTCGCTCTTGTTACCCAGGTTGGAGTGCAATGGCGCGATCTTGGCTCACCGCAACCTCCGCCTCCTGGGTTCAAGCAGTTCTCCTGCCTCAGCCTCCTGAGTAGCTGGGATTACAGGCACGTGCTACCATGCCCAGCTAATTTTTTTGTTTAGTAGAGACGGGGTTTCACCATGTTGACCAGGATGGTCTCGATCTCTTGACCTCGTGATCCACCCGCCTCGGCCTCCCAAAGTGCTGGGATTACAGGCTTGAGCCACCGCGCCCGGCTGGGGCAGATGCATTCTAAAAGGCATTTTATGCTGTTGAAGAGCAGGTAGACAAGGGAGAAGAAGTTGTATTTCTGTAGAGCACTGCACTTTGTAAAATTGTCAAAGGTCTTCACATTTTGTCAACATTGTGATACCAAATAAGAGCATTTGCTCAGGTATATTAGAGCACATATTTGTTTTTATGCTTGTGATCATCATAACTTTTATGTCAAATGATTTCTTTTTTGCTTTCTTTAAATCTTTTAAAAATTGAAGGTTCAACATAGAAAACAATGTTCTGAATAAAGAACTCTCTTTGTAGTTTACCTTCCACACATGAAGCGTTTTTAAAAAAAAATTTTTTTTTTGAGATGGAGTTTCTTTTTTTTTTTCCCCCAGGCTGGAGTGCAGTGGCATGATCTCAGCTCACTGCAACCTCTGTCTCTTGGGTTCAAGTGATTCTCCTGCCTCAGCTTCCTGAGTAGCTGGGATTACAGGCATGTGCCACCACACCCAGCTAATTTTGTGTTTTTAGTAGAGACAGGGTTTCTCCATGTTGGTCAGGCTGGTCTTAAGCTCCTGACCTCAGATGGTCCACCCACCTTGGCCTCCCGTAGTGCTGGGATTACAGGTATGAGCCACTGCACTGAGCCGACGAAGTGGTTTTTATGTATCTTGGTCAAGTAACCTATTCCCTGACGACTTTGTACCAAGCTTCAGAAGAGGCAAGAGCGGTATGTTGTCTCTGTCCTTCCTCAAGGCAATACTTCAAGGTTGCTTGAAGGTGAGGAAGCTCTGGGTAGTGAGATCAGGTGCCTAGTCCAAGGACAACCAGTTTGTAGATGGGAGAGATTAGAAGCTTGAACTGACCTGTTTTCTTTTCAATAACTGACATTTTTACGATTGTATTATTCAAATTCACTTAAATATTTTCTTGGCTGGGCGTGGTGGCTCACACCTGTAATCCCAACACTTTGGGAGGCCTAAGCGGGTAGATCACAAAGTCAGGAGTTTGAGACTAGCCTGAGCAATATGTGAAACCCCATCTCTACTAAAACTACAAAAATTAGCTGGGTTTGGTGGCCTGCACCTGTAATCCCATCTACTCGGGAGGCTGAGGCAGGAGAATCACTTGAACCCAGGAGGCAGAGGTTGTGGTGAGCCGAGACTGCACTACTGCATTCCAGCCTGGACTACAGAGTGAAACTCTGTTTCAAAAAAAAAAAAAAAAAATTTTGTTTTCTCTGAAAAACAAAAAAAAAAATTTTTCTCTGAAATTTGTTTTTCCACGTTATACTGTCATCTTTAAAAAAGATTATTAATGGTTGTATTATCCTATTGATATAATGAGATTAAAACATTCCCTAGTGCTGGACATTTTAGGTTATTTCCATTTTTTTGCTAATGTAGATGAATTTGCAGTTTATAATTTCATCTTTCTTTTTTCATCTATGCAGTTATTAGTTCCTGGGGATAAATTCCCAGGAATAGAAATCTTGTATTAAAGAGTATGAACACCTTAAGAGTGTTTTGGAAGCCTGTGTTGCAGCTTGTAAGTTAATTTTTCTGATATTTTTGGGTGAAAAAATTGGGATTCTTTCTCTTTAAGGTGCTTGCCTTGGCCTTTAGAACTTTTAAGCATCTGTGAGATAAGAAAGTTCTGTGAGGGTTTCCTAAATGAGTCACATTTCCTTCCTAAGTTTCTGGATATCGTTTTACTTGAATTAGTTGCTTTAGTTTCATGAGCAAGACACAACGTTTTAGAAAATCCTTACTACTTTATTATTAATCCCTGGAGCTAATGTTCCAAATTCCCGAGGTCGTGCGTGCTTGGGGTTGCATTCTTCCGTCGGCTCAGCGGTCAAGGTAGGCATCTCACAAACCTTCTCTAGGTCTCTTTTCCTCACTGAGGGGATGCACGTTGGAAAGAGTCTGCAGGGTTCTTCCTGCCAGGCAGCCTGGGGGTGATGTGGCCCTTTGGAGTTCGCCTCTAGCTTCTCGGTGTCGTTCTCAGGGACGTTCCTGGCCCTGTTCATCTCCGGAGACAAGCGTCTCAAGCGGCAACGTGGAGGGAAGTTCCCAGCACCGGTGCTCGCCTTGTTTGCTTGTTTGCTCTTCTGTCCTGGTCTGCTGTGGAACTTGTCAGCATGTCCCCTCCCCGCGGACTAGCTTTCGTGCCCTCCGCTGTCCCTTAGGAATTCACTCTCAGACTGAGCAGAGTCCTCGTTTCCTGGTGGCTCATTTGCCAGGGTCTGCAAAAGATAGGTGCTTAGCAGGGACAGAGAGGGGATCCAGTGGGGAGCAATGGCCGGGCCAGCCGACCTCAGTGCTCACCCCGGGGTCCCCGCCCTTGGATTTCTACGGTGCCTCTGCCGTGTCTACCCTCTCCCCCAAGGGGCTGTTTCCCGTTTAGTTCTCTGGCCTCACCCGTGGGCAAAACCTTGCTCCGCTTGGTTCCCCTTATCCCAGGTAAGAAAAGCTGACGTTCGCAACAGAACCAAGAGACTTGACTACACCCAAAGGTAGAAATGAGAAGAAACAGCCGCAGACAGCGCAGCAGACACATGTTTGGCTTCCTAAGCACAGGCCGGTTTTTGTGCCCACACTCCAGGGCTCGTCTGACTGTACTGGCTCTGCCAGGCGCTGCTCAGCTTCCTGCTTCCCCTGCTAGCCCTGCTGCTTCCATCAGTAAAACAGAATTTTAGGGTTAATGCTTTGCTTGATGCTTCAGGAACTGCATTTTTATCACAAGTTTGGAAATTGTACTTTGCCCCTGTTTCTACAGATGCCTAAACATGTCTAGGTTGCTGTTGCCTTGGCAACTGGCTGAGCTGTTGGTTGTATGTGCGGTGAAGGCTCTGGCAGGGGCTGGAAGGAAGCCCCAGGTCTTCCTTAGAGCTTCTCAGCCAAGCTGGTAGTTACTCCCAAGCCCAGAAGTGTATGCTCTTAACTCCCCTATGTCATTTGGAGCTTCCCATTTCATTTCCCTAAGAAATCCCTGCTCAGCTGCCCTAGACTTGGGTGTGTGGTATGACATGGCATGGCATGCACTGAGAGGGCTGACTTATTTCAAGACTGGATTCTTGGCAACAACACGAGACACGATTCCTTAGCAGCCCTTGACCTAAGCTTTATTCAAGGTTGGACATGGCAGGCGCTGCTTGTCCTCTCCCTTCAAGTTTCTTCTGCTTCTCAGACCTGGGGTGCTTGTTGGGCCCAGAGCTGGGCCTTGCCTGAGAGTCCCGCAAAAGCAGGGCCAGAGGGTACTCCTGACCACCTACAAGTCATGGGAAGAGAGTGAATGTGATTGGATCACTGCAGTGCCACCCAGTATGTATCCTTTATGAAGACTGAGTGAAAGGTTGGTATAATCAATTCCAGTCTTACCCTTTGTTATTTTAATGCTTCTCGTATTTCCTTTTGGGCTTATTTCTTTTCTTCTTAGTCTTACAAAAGTGAGTCTGAAGTTGTGATGTGTGGGGGTTGGGGCTGGTTCATTGCCCCCTCTTAAAGCTCAGACAAGTCAACCTTCCTTGAAGTTTTTTGGGTATAAACTCATTTCCAGAATTGCTGTTTTGGACCCATTCTTTTATCTTTGCTACCTCTGTTAGGAACTTGCAGATTCACGAAATTTAGAAATAGTTTGACATAATGTGAGCTCTTACTATTAAGTAAAGAGGTGGGTAGGGAGAGAAACCTCCTTCAATCACCACCCTCCAAAAACCTCATGTGGCAGTGTGATTGGTGGAGATGGAGACAAACTCAGTCCATTGGGAGCTCCTGCGGGTACCAGGTGGGAGAAGGGAGTTCTCTCCTTGGGGTAGACTTGGCAAATTACCAGTCCCCACAAAGGCTGCAAAGCCCTGCTCCACATTTCCTGTGCATTCTGCTGTCCAGGAAGGCTGGCTTTTGGGGCCCTGACCTGGAACCCGGGTTGCTTTTCTCCATAGGAGGGCCTCTGTCTGGAGCAGTGGGACAGGGACAAGCCTCTGCTGTGTTCTGATCTTGGGACGGCCCAGTCCAGTGGGGCTATAAGTGCCTGCAGTGAGCTGTAATTAGTAAGGAGCTCTGCAGCCAAATTGCCTGGGCTTGAATCCCAGCTCTGAGATTGATTGTGGTACCTACGTACGTCACCTTTGAAGTGGGGATCATGATAGGATTGTTGTACAGCTTGGATGCATGAACGTGTACCCTGCACTTAGGATGGCGTTGCCCACCAAGACCTCCATTGTAGCACAGCCATCGGTGCCTCTGGGCATCCCAGCCATCTTGCCTTGGGACTCTTTGATTCCCACTTTACAGTTGAGGAAATAGGCTCAGAGAAGCTTAATATATCTTGAGACCTGGGTCGACCTCAGGGTTCTCTCTTGAGAGCACTGGTGGTCCCCCACAGTGGCCTTGGCTCCCCAGCAAGTTAGGGAGTGACTGCCAGGGGACTTACTCCATCAGTGCTGTGCCCACCAGGCATAGTGTATATACCGATTTTTTAATGCCTCCATACACATGCATGCACACACACATAAAACATTTGTATGCTACTGAAAAGGGAGAGTTCCCTGGACCCCTTCGAGGTACTTGGGACGGGGTGTGGCTGGTTTGCTCAGACCCCTTACAGGAGCAGGGAGCCTGAGATGTGCAGGTACAGGAGCCAAGGCGAGTGCTTTTGGGCTCCAGCTCCGCGGCAGTGTCTAGGGCTGTTACAGTGCTCTTTTAGACCTCTTGTCTGGGGACAGCTTAAGTATTAAACAGCTCAGTGAAGAGTCACTGTGACAGCCTTTTTGGGTTCCTGCTTCCAATGCATCCCAAATTGCCTGGCGTCTAGGAAGAATCAGGTTCCGTGGACTTGAATGATGGTGAATGCAGAATTTTTATAATGGAGGTGGCTTCCAGCAGGATGGGGAACTGAAGATGGAATGGAGTGGGAAGGTGATCTTCCCCTGGAGTTTGACCATGCCGCAGACAATCTGTTCTCCAGCTGCCCCCAGCTGAACTCTTGACTTCCTCCTCTGCCACTCTTCTGTGTGTGGAGTCTGGGATGTGGGGTTTGTATGGGCACAGGATGATAGGGGCCATGGCAGGCTGAAAGGCAACATTTGGGTGTGAAAACAGGAATGCTGGCATGTGCCTGTAATCCCAGCTACTCAGGAAGCTGAGGCAGGAGAATTGCCTGAACCCAGGAGGCGGAGGTTGCGGTGAGCCGAGATCGCGCCGTTGCACTCCAGCCTGGGTAACAAGAGCGAAACTCAGTCTCAAAAAACAAACAAACAATTCCCAGTTTATTTTAAAACTTGAATTTATAGTAGCCTTTTGTCATCTGGATTTTTTAAATAATTGAATGTAAAAAATACTGTTATCTAGGGATCTAGCAACCTTTTTGATCTTTAAAAGGCTTGAGTTCAGTTCACGACCAGCCTGGCCATCATGGTGAAACCCCATCTTTTAAAAAAAAAAAAAAAAAGCCGGGTGCGGTGCCTCAAGCCTGTAATCCCAGCTCTTTGGGAGGCTGAGGCGGGCGGATCACGAGGTCAAGAGATCGAGACCATCCTGGTCAACATGGTGAAACCCCGTCTCAACTAAAAATACAAAAAATTAGCTGGGCGTGGTGGCACGTGCCTGTAATCCCAGCTACTCGGGAGGCTGAGGCAGGAGAATTGCCTGAACCCAGGAGGCGGAGGTTGCGGTGAGCCGAGATCGCGCCATTGCACTCCAGCCTGGGTAACGAGCGAAACTCCGTCTCAAAAAAAAAAAAAAAGGCTTGATTTCGGAAAACGTTTATTGTTGCCCTGTTCTTGCTCTGTGTTTTGGTGTCTGTCCTTCTGTCTGTCTGGCATCTGCGTGAGTCATGGGTCAGGACATGTTGGGGATATGGAGTCTGGTGTAGCTGGGCCTAGTTATAAACTGGAAGCAAGGTTGGGAGCCTAGAATCCAAACCAGATTCAGACTGGGAGAATATCTGAAATCTCTGCAAGCGGCAAAGAAGGTTCTTTTTTTTTTTTTTTTAAGATGGGGTTTCACCGTGATGGCCAAGCTGGTTTTGAACTCCTGACCTCAGGTGATCCACCCACCTCAGCCTCCCAAAGTGCTAGGATTACAGGCGTGAGCCACCGTGCCCAGCAGAAGGTTCTTATATCTACGGTTCCTGAAGGAATGTTGCTGGGTTCCCAGGTTCTCTGGGAGCATTGATGTGTCTCACTGTCATGGTGCCAAAGACTTTTTGTTTTTATTCATCTATTTCCTGTACTTCCTTCTGCTCCCTTGTTAACCTGGGGCTGGCTCTAGTTTCAAAGTTAATTCTCAAACTCAAACCTCAGATTTAAAGGCTGGGGACTGCCCTTGGGTATGTTGGGGTCCGGCTCCTGAGAAACCTCTTTTTCCGGAAAGCTCTGGCCTGTTAGATTTTGCTCTGAAATTTTACTACCCTGCTCACCTAATGGTGGTCATTGCTGTTCTGAAACACATGGGTGGAACTCAGCAATGTTTCTTGACCTGTATTTTTTGTTTGTTTTTATTTTATTTTATTTTTTTGAGACAGAGTTCCACTCTTGTTACCCAGGCTGGAGTGCAATGGCACAATCTTGGCTCACTGCAACCTCTGCCTCCTGGGTTCAGGCAATTCTCCTGCCTCAGCCTCCTGAGTAGCTGGGACTACAGGCATGCGCCACCAGGCCCAGCTAATTTTTGTATTTTTAGTAGAGACCAGGTTTACATGTTGCTTGGGCTGGAGTGTAGTGGTGTGATCTCAGCTCACTGCGCCCTCTGCTTCCCAAGTAGCTGGGACCATAGGCATGCGCCATGATGCCTGGCTAATTTTTGTTGACCTGTATTTGGATTTTATGTTTCCTTCAGAATTTTATGCAAATTGATGC